GAGAGAGAGAGAGAGAGAGAGAGAGAGAGAGAGAGAGAGAGAGAGAGAGAGATCGAGTCAAAGAAACATAAGTTGGAGATTTGGAATGAAACACACGGAGAAGGAGTAAAATAAGTAAATATACAGAAAGACAGAATATATATAGAATATGCTTATTGAGAAAATCGTAAATATATAAAGGGTGAGAGACAGGCACAATGAGCAGAACAGTTAAATACTGTGATTGACTCTTAGAGACCCACTGAGAGTCGAAGAACTCAAGAGGGGTAGGAGGGAGAACAAGAGAGAAAGACGAAAAGATAATACTCAAACAATAAAGATGGCGAGAGAGGGGGAGAGAGTGACAAAGATTACGGATATGAATGATGAAGAATAGGTTAGATTGACGGGATTCTATATTGTTCACATATAGTTCGCTATGAATGACATGAGATTTACTCTCAATTCTCGTGATTGTGCATACTCATAAGAGAAGATAAACATACATATGTACATACATATATACACATATAGTTTAACCCACTTACTTTAAACGAGAGTTCTCAAACTTTCTTACAAACGATGCTGCTGTAAGCAAACTTTTATAATTTAACTTTTATATAAAGAACATTTGCTTTACTCAATGTTAAGTACTATTAAATCATAAATGTAAGAAATATTGTATTTATTCTCTACTTGATATATAAATACTTTTCCCCGAGAAAAATGAAGCAAATGCTCTCGTAATGAATGCGAGACAGCATGCCATATTTTGACCGATTTGTTCAGCTATTATGCTGTAAGGCCAACAACTTTTGCAGCCGTAGAGAAATGGGAGACGGGAGATGGGAGACGGGAGACTGAGATGCTATTTGATGATGTATTTGAAGTGTGGCTTCATTCAAGGCGCATTGAGGCGCTTCTATGAAACATCATTAAATCAGCGCAAAAGTTTACAAATGCATTTCATTTCAAAATCATGGCCCGGCCAGCAGTAAATGGTAGCAGCGAGATGGTAACTGTTAACCGGTAGATGCAACAACAGCAATAGCAACAGCAACAGCAACAGCAGCAAACAACAAACAGAGCTCGGTACTCGGAGCATTACAAATTACAAGTTGCTGTCTGTCAGAGAATCGCAGCTCCCGGAGCAGCACAAAAAGCAGCCCGCAAAACTTTGACGAGTGCTAGAGGAGCGCATAAAAAATCAGCTAGTAAATGGATGGATGCTGGCTAGAAAGACGCTGCAGAGACAGAGATGCAGAAAGAGAAACAAATGCTAGACAGGGAGAGAGAGAGAGAGAAAGGGAATGGGCGTGGGTGAAGGCAACAATTGCAATCTGTGGCGCTTGAACAACGCTTAATGTTGCCTACAACCGCAATGCCAGGCCATTTATCATTCAGCCGAGCCGAAGCGGGCGAAAGGCCAAGGCAGAGGCGGTTGACGAGCGGCCCAAGAGAGGGTGAGGAAACAGCATGGTAGGCAGAGAAAGACAGATGGACGGATAGAGGGAGTGAGCTGAATGACTGACGCGCGACAGACTGACAGAAGCCGTACAATAAAATGGCATGGAGGCAGTTGCCTGACCGTAAAAAAGAACTAAATTGACCTTACGGAACTGCATCAGAGCCGTGGCGCATAGAATACGATTAAGCCTGATCTATGCTCTGGGCAGGTAAATCAAATTGCTTAGCAGAACGAATAACAATTTTGTTTTACTTTGCTTTTGGCCCAGCTCTTACTCCAGAGCTCTTTCTCTGGCCCTGACTGTGGTTCTGGCTCTTGCTCCATTGCTGGCGGCTTTTGATTATTTTGCGCCCGCCCTTATAAATTGCATATTTGCGAGCGCATTTGCATGAGTACTGCGAGCACTTACCTAAAGCGAGAATACAATTTGTACGCTGTCTTCGAAGGTTTGGCTGAAAGGAGATTCAAGATTAAAGTTGAATAAACATAATTAGTTCGTTCGCTTAAAGAATATATACGAAATAAATTGTGCAAATCAAGTTGAGAGCATAAAAGCATAATTAATAATCTTAACAAAGACAATTTGTGGGTATATATACAAATAAAAATATTTCTATTATCATGGATTAGTATCCTGCTATGAGTTGCTGAAACGAATTTAATTAAATATATTTTGCAAGTCAATGAAATAAGAAGGAAGAGGAATATAGCTCAGGGTATGAAATACCTTTGACTATTAAAGGTAAGACTTAGGGAGCTATTTGATAGATTTGAGGTCAACACCAGTTGTCAGGAATTTTAAATATATTAGAGTAGGTTTCTTGCAAACCTAATTTACGCTTATCGAGGAGCTATGTGAACTGAAATGAAATACAGTAGAGTACCGTTATAACAACTCCGCTTATAGTGTGCGTACGATTATTGCGAAGAAAATTCTGGTTCACGGAGAAACTGATATGAGCAACCTCATAGCGTCTCGTTATAAGGGACAGAATTCTATTTTGCAAGTCGGGTTTCTCGGCTTTTGGAGACTATCTCCAGTTGTGCCAATTCTTTCCAATTCTTTCTTCAATTTCAATCTTTGAGGTTGAGGCTGAGGCCTTTGGCATCTGAGACTTCTGTAAATATACCTGGCCAGGCTGCAGTTGGTTGAAAATATAGTCACTCCAGGTACGCCAGTACCGTCTGTATTTTGACTGTATTATGCAGCATCTTAAGGTCTCATTTACCAAGCCCTTCCAGTGATCTGTCCCTGCCTCAGATCTGCTTGAAGAACACGTTACATTTCTGGTATTCTATACAGCTGAATTGTGTATCAGAAATCAAGTAGATGCGCATCTTAGTGTCCAGCGATAGATTTCTTCATGCTGCAAGCAGCTCAGACCTAAGACATGGTATGCCTTCTAAAGGCTGGGCTTTAGCCAAGGTGCTGCCGCTCACTGCTTTAGCTACAATCATCAAATTGGAGTTAAGGATTCTTAAAGTCTATTAAAACACCAAAGCAGAGATAGGTATAAAACGTACTGACTAATATTGACTTGAATACTATTTAAGGAAAAAAGTCCATATGGCTATTGCCAGATCGATTTTGTATGCATTGGAGATATCTGAAAAGAGCTATGGAAATGCAAACTTGGCCAACATTGTGCAGTCTCAAAACTGAAGCGGCAACAACACTTTTTCTGCTTCTTCTCTTGAGCTGCAGGAATATTGAGGCCAGCGCCTCGTGAGCCTTGGGGCATTGCAGTTAGTTATCGAGAGAGCTTTGAGCTGCTGATTGCAACAAAGAAATTCTTGATAATCCCAAGCAAAAAAAAAAAAAAAAAAAAAAAAAAAAAAAAAAAACAAAAAACAAAAAATGAAAAAAAGGCATTGCTGCTTAAAGCCTTGCAACTAAACGGAAAGTGTAGCTAGAGTATCTCTCTCGGCCTCCGACAGGCAAACATAAAAAATAATCAAGCATGTGAGGCTTAAAGTGGCCCATAAAATGGCCAACTGAAATGGCCAGGCTCAGTGCAATTGCAAACACTTTTATGTGTAATCACTTTTAATGCATTTTATATCAAGCGATTCAGCTTTAATTCTGGCATTTCAAATGGAGTCAGATTTAACCTGATTCCGCTGATGACCAATAATGGGGGAACAAAGGCAAAATGTATTTCATAAATAAAGGGACTGTCAAATAGCAAACAGCTTTTGTGGCAATTTAATTTGTTTTAAGTATTCAGTATTGATTGCCATTGTCCCTAAGGATGTCGACGTCTATATACATACATATATATATATATGTATATGTGAGTGAGTGAGTGTGTGTTTGTTTGTATTCCTCTGTGTGTGTGTGTGTGTGCATGCAATTTACTGATTAATTTAAGCGGTCTAGTAATGCATAAATTAATGTTTAATAACAGTTGCGGGCTGCCAATCCGCCTGGCGGCTGCATCGACAATGGCCTGCCAGCTGGCAGGCATTCCACATAATGAATGTGGCATCAATGCACAGGCACACACATGCATACACAGCACACAGACAGCATACACACAGACGCACATTGGCCCGCACTTAGCTAGATGACCGTATCAATATGCTTGTGGATTTGAAATTATTTGATGGAACGTTGCACGAAAATCTATCTCTGCATGAACATCAATTACGATTTTGCACTGTGTAATTGCAAATGTTTGCCTTTATGATACCCTGTAAATGGTGATACTTGATTATGGAGTCCATTCGTTCAGAATTGCGGCATATGGCAAATTTGTAAAATTCGTCTTCCTCTCTCTCTCGCTCTCTGTTAATATGGTTGCGTTTACTGGCAGTTTACTTCTCTCTCTCTCTCTCTCTCTCTCTCTCTCTCTCCATCTCTTACTCGCTACTCTCTGTTTCTTATATAAATATATTTTCAATTCGGCATCTGCCATAGTCTCTCGTTTCATTCTCATTCTCACGTTTATTTTCTACCACATTCTCATTGTCATTTTGTTTCTCATTCTCATTGACATTCTATTCTCATTCTCTTTCTCATATTCATCTACATTCTCTTACTGATTCTCACCTACTTTCTCATTCTTATTCTCATCTACATTCGCATTGTCATTCTCATTCCCATTCTCAGTCTCAATCCCAGTCTCATTCTCATTCTCAATCCCAGTCTCATTCTCAGTCTCAATCCCAGTTCCAGCCTCAATCTCAAATTCACTCCCAGTCTCATTGTCATATTCATTCCTATGCTCATTCTCATGCTGTCCCATTCCCAGTTGACTTTCCTGTATAGCTTACAGACCTTATGCTCTGCTCTGCTCTGCATGCGCTCCTCACAGCCCGGGTGTTAACTCATTTGATCCTCAGCTCTGGCTATCTGATACTGTAGCATTACGACCCATTGCAGTAGTTTGGTTGCTCAATTGTTGGCTTTGCTGGCTAATTAGCCAGCTGCCAATGCATTTGCGTCTGTTTTATTTACGAGCCTGTTTCAAATTACAAATGTTTGTGCAAAGCTAGCAGCAGCAGACTAACTATCAGAGGCATTGCTTTATGAATAACATAACACACACACACACACACACACACACACACATACACAGATAGGCGGATGATAAGTGCAAATTGCGTTGCAATTGCAAATAGATTGATGTTCGGCAACGATATTTGGCCCATTACCAATTTGCAAATTGGATGCAAAAAGTAGACAAAGTGAGTGCACAAATTAAATTGGCTTCGATATGAATTAGTCATCATAATTACCGATATGACAAATGCGTCTATAAAACGATTGTCCAATGCAAATAACTAAATCGTTTGACATGCAAATCGCAATTACAAAATTACCAATTGCAAAATATTCTGGACACGTTTATCCAATAATCAATATCAGCTCATCAGCTCATGTTGACCATCGCTTAGTAGATTGTTAAAAATATTGAACGGTGCGACGAAGGTGTAGACGGATTATAATACAAATTTGTTTGTCCTTTATATACATATATATGTATTTATTGTAGTATTAT